TTCTCATTGGAATTTCTGGCAGGTGGATTGTAAAGAATCTCCTTGATGGCCTTGACTGTTCCATTAGGATACTTTGTAACTTTACCTGATGGAGATGACTCTGACTGGGGAAGGTTCCTTGACTTTCTGAATTTTCTGAATGGAATGGAATCTACGTGGTCTTCAGCATCAGACAATTCCTCAGGTGACTTGTGGCTCAGATTGGGGTAAAGGTCCTCTGAGGGATCCACCATGACAACCATGTCCATTTTCCGTCTCCTTGTCTTTTGGCTGTTGGAAGGAGGGTCTTCATCTTTATGCTCCTCACCAGGGGAATCCCCATGGTTCTCCCACAGAAACTGCATGAACTCTTTGTGAGGGTCCCAATGAAGGTCACTGGCATTACTAAAATCATCCAATGAGTTCTCCGGAGAGTCTTCATCAAAACCCCAAATTCCTGCAGTGTCAATTTCCTGCACTGTTTGTAATGGGGTGATGCTCTTTGTCTCCTCCTTCTCTATAGAGATGCTGTTGAGTTCATGGGCTTCTGTAGCCTGGTGTGAAGGTGGTCCATTTCCCAGGCCAACCGGAGACAGCATATCTGTGTTCGACAAAACATCTAGGACGCTGTTTTGTTTCGAAGAAGGCTTGCCGAAAGAATTGGTGCACGATGCGGATTCTTGGGCCATTCTCACTGGTTCTTGCAAGAGTGTGAGGGCGTTGATTTCAAGATCTGCATCTTTGTCGTCTTCATCAACACCGGTCCGACATGACATTTCAGCTGCCATGACCTGAAAAAATAAAAGTAAAGCCTTCTTAGATATTCCTTAACCAAAAGTAACTACAAAATCCAGTTATCACTGTAGCTTCTCAAAGGTTACATAAAAACCTTTACCACCTTTGGTGGCTTCTCTGTCCCTGCACAATAACAAATAACTGATCTTAGTAGGGTTGTTGCCTTTTAATCTTTTGTCCGTATTCTGAAGTTAAAAATGTTCCTCTGTAATGTCCTTGGGAGATTTTGACTTGATAGCTTCAACCTATTAAAATGTGTGGTGAGGTATTGTGCATTTGTATGAATGTATGGTGTTAGTGGGCATTGAGAACAAAAAAACACAGACAGCTCTGTGTAAAACCAGCCTTTTGGGGGGTATGAGTAGTTTAGTACCGGTAAACAATAAAATACAAGGAAGTCCAGTTCGAAAAAAATATTAATGCGTTTAATGGCTTATCAAATGCCAAAAGCCTGTAAATAGTTTGTAGTACTCACAGAGAAGATTTTACAACTCTTGACATTTTAGAAACCATGTTGTATATTTCATAGGGATTTGGAGTCAACAGTAAGGGTTCGTGCTAGCAAGAAATCAAATAGAAATGTGGGCTTGCACCCTGCATTGGTAGAGGGACAGGCTCCATTCAAACTAATAAAAATGCTCTAGTTAATGCGAACATGAAACGACGATAGGCGCGTTTTGTTCACTGGAAAGTGAATGTGTTCACAGTAAGTCTCGAAAATAAACTAAAGCTAAGCTTAACTAATCTAGCAATGCTGGGCTGCTGCGTGAAAATGTGGTATATAGTTCTGGTAATTTTTTGGGCCTAAATAGATGACCAATTTAAAATGTGTTTTACACCAGCCCAGCTCTACACAGTTTAATAGTACAAAAAAAAATGTGTATATTTATTCAAACAGTTTTTGTCATCATTACTATCTGACAAAGAATGCAAACATTACGTGAAAAAGGGATGTTAATTATTTCTGGAATAAGGTATATTTTTCATAATAAAGCATTAACCGATCACGTTGTACCAAATTGACATAACCAATGGTTTTCCCGGGGGGAAATCAAATTCATGAGCATTTAGCTTAAAGTTAAGAGCTTGAGCTAAGCTGTTGAAAACTTTTATTGAACCATTGACGCAACGTTTGCTAATTTGTTTTAATGTAAACGATTAAAAGGAGAACATTTAGCAATTTCTTGTTGTTTATTTGTCCCTCCCTGGTGTGTAAAAGCCTTTAACCTTGATCATTATGAACCTGAAATATTAAAATGTATTTTTACATTTATTTTGTAATTAAACAAAAGTGCCCAATTAAAAAGGGTTTGCTTTGGTCATTGTTTCACCACATCGCATGGGCTAACGTTAACAAATAGCAGTCGTCATGTAGTTTATATTGCACTTTAGCGCAAGCAGACACTCACTGGAGAGGAAGTAATCCGGATTTAGTATAAGGGAAAAACAAATAGTCTATAGATTGTTGGAGTAATTTTTTTTCTCGAGTGTAATGAGCATCGCAGCCACTAGAAACTGCTAGAATGGCAACAAAAAGTTGTTGTTTGTGTTTAAGTTTAAAAACGAAAATGGGGAAGAAATGGTTAGATAGGGAGAGACGATTAGTTTCATTTTTATTTTATTTTGCAACTATTTAAAAATAGTAATCCCAGCTAGCTGTTTTTTGTGTAGCCTATTGTGATAGTAAACCTTAGATTAAAGAAATTGTAAGGTTTTTTTTCACTGTTCACATTTTAGCATCCATTACATTACATGTCACATGTCATCCAAGAGATAAAGCAGATAATGGCAGATTTGTCAAAATGTAACAGTCATAAACTGTAGCTCTTAATACAATCGTAAATCAGTGATGGTTAAGATGTTTAATCATCTAGCTAAGATTATAATAAGACATTTAAAACTTTTAGAATGCTGAGGTGAACAACAGTGAGATTTATGTTTCAAGTTCAATATTGAAATGCTTTATAAAGCTGCAATAGGTCGTTTTTGAATTGATTAGAATGAGTCTGTTTGATGTAAAAAGTAAACCATTCAGTTATTTACATTGTCATCAGAGTTAGATTATTTACTCAACCAGCAATCATTGACTACAATATAAATATATCTAATTAAAATATACTTGACACTTGCTCTGATGATTAATCGTTGCCATTTATAATGCTACAAGGTCGCGGTAGTGAGAGGTCTTGCATTTGAAGGGCAATAAAAGTGTCATACCAAGTGAATGCTCCTGTGTGAGATTTGTTTCTAACATATAAACAGCAGCACTGAAAATGCAAAGAGATGGACCTCGGAAATGGCTTATAATAAGCGGTTGTGGATATTGTACAGAGCTAAAACTTTCAACACAGTAGTTCAGTTATATGCCAACCTACAATAGTTGGAGTATGTTTCCAATGCTATCTTAATACAGGGCTAATTGTATCATTTATACCAAGTCCCATAAGGGTATCGTTGCATTTATTTGACGTTTATATCACGCTGTGTTGTTGGATGCTGCTTGTGGGAGCTGCAGACCATTCCATTAAGGCTGTTCCACACCAAAACCTATTCTTCAAGCTAAACTATAGCTATTGACAACCGTTTCACGCTATTTACGCAACAGACATTAATAACATGATGAAAAACAAACAAACGTTACCTCCGAGCGGTGCAGATGCAGACAGGGCGCAATTTAAACGATGCATTGAATAATTTCTTACTTTCGTCTTCCATCTATTTCACAGTCGCCATTTTCCGTGGTGGTCTGGTGTGGGACAGATCATTTCTTTTGTAAGGGTAACCATACATACAGTTGTCTCCACAGTAACAAAACAAATACATGCTTCACATATTGCGTTAGTAGTGGAACTATTTTATAAAATAGCAATGGTAAGAAAGTTATGCAAGTTATGGTCTTGTATATTTTCGTCACGTAATGTTACGAGTCGGCGCCATGTCCCCCCGAAAGATTTGTAATGGTTCAGTCCAGATAGGAGGAATAAAAAACCTGAGTTAATGACCATCTCCTTTGAGTATCAGATTTTTTTGTAGGTGACGGCGGTGTAATCGTCGTTGTAATTGATAAAATGAATTGAAATCTCAGTTATTAATCGTTTTTTGTTTTTTTTAAAGAACATATTTTTGTTTTGCTATGTGAACTTGTCCTTCACACACAGACAATACTTGTTTGCCAACACAGGAGAGATGGTACACTATCCCCCAATGGTTGTATTTTTCTCACCGGTCTTTGTTGCTTTCGCGGCCGGTTAAGTTATTCACAGTGACGTGTGTTTTAAACAGAAAATACACCTTCAACATAGAAAAAAATTCATTTCAAAGTAGCATTTGTTCTAGTTGGGCAACTCATATTTTAATGAGAACAATAAGCTACAGCTGATATTTTTAATTTTAAAAAACAGCATTGTTTATATTAATATGCTACTTAATATTGTTGTTATTGAACGCAACATGGTATTCGGCGCTGTCTAAAATGTCAAATGTGGCTAGTGAGGTCAATGTTTAACAACTGATTTGTAATGTCCCTGGAATACATTTAAACATTGACACAGGTAAGTTCACTGCTAGAAAATAGTACAGATAACGTTCATATAGGTAATTAGTTAAACTGTTAGGCAAGTATGCAGTTAACTGATAGCCTTTGTTTAAATGTCTTCATATTTTAATATTGCTAGCTGGTTGTTCAGTAGCTAAGGCCTTAGCTTAAGCTAACAAAGCCAAAGTTGTTTCACTCTTTTAGCCTGAAAATGTAGTTACTTAGTATTTTTACTGAGATACTAACTACATTAGTCATAATGGAATGTACATTGTTCATATGTCTTGGTTCAGCAGGTGGTCTTCTTATATAGCATTCAGGTATGTCAGATGTTAGTGGAGTAGAAGTACAAAGTAACATAAAATGGAAGTACCTCAAAATTGTAGTACAGTAAAAAAGTACAGTATTTGAGTAAATGTACTTAGTTACTTACCACCACGGTATTTGTAATTAGCTATACTAAATGATTAAGTTCACATTAGATCAGCAGTAAGATTGCTTACAGTATTTCTATGAAAGCCATACATTTATTAATACTCTTTTGTGTGTCGAAACATATCATGTATAAACTCATTTGGAAAATTAATTTAAATATTATAAGAGCGCTTTGTTGTGTTATTTACCATTTACCCATAGTGATTGATTGGCATTGCCCAGCTTTGCGTTCAAATGTGTGCATGCCTCTGGGACCTGATGAGATGTTGGACTCCGATGACTGCACCTTGTCCCTGGACAATCTGTTTTTTGAGAAACCCATTGTCCACAAAGTGTGAGTACAAATAGATGCCCCATTTTATCAGCATCTTTCCTCTCACAGCTGAAGCATTTCTCTTCTTTCTGGATTGTATTTGACAGAAAGCCACTGCACCAGGAGGTCAGCCCATGGCACCTGGAAATGCCTCCGTCTCTTTCTCAGGTCCCAGCCACTCAGGATATGCAGAAGGAGGCAGAGTCTCTCTCTTCTCTATACAGTATGTTGTGCTCTGGATTAGAGTGAATTCCTTTTCACTTGACTTGAGTAAACTGCGCAGTATCTGGTCTACTAAATTTAACTGTGTGACTCACTGACACAAAAGCTTAAAAAGGCTTGATAGCTTTCCCAATTTTCCATGGTTTGCATAAACAAACCGGGTTCTGGGTCTTATGATATATTCTCATAATCGTATGTGTAACTGAGCTACAAAACAGAGCTAGCCAGCTAACCAATCAGAGCAGACTGGGCTCTAGTTTCAGACAGAGGGTGAAAAGAGGTGCTGCAGCACAGGCAGTATGAGAAAAATAAAGCTTTCTGAGCATTAAAGCATGGAAACATGTCACAGTAGAGACACAAATTACAAATATGAACCTGAAAAATGAGCATAATACATCCTCATTAAAGATGTCACCAAATGATATCTACCTCCTACTTTGTAACAGTATATAACTATGTTTTCCTTCTTTAAAATGACTCACAGGTTTCCCACAAATACCCAAGCCTTCTTTTAAAGGATCAGCTGGCTTCAAGGCTTTACCAGCAAAAATCAACAGTCCATACAATTATAACATTGATGAGAAAGAGAATGATCAAACTCAGGATGGCAGAAATATCAGCAGCAGAAGTGATGGCCTTTGGGGAGGTGAAGGCTTCTGGGATTATTCTCAGGATGTCTGCCATAGCGCCAGAAGTGGGGATGAAACCCCGCAGGAGCCTGGTCGTGCAGCCATAAGCAGGAGGTGTTTGTCTCTTGATGGCAGCAAAAGCCCACCTCTACGGAGAAGGCAAGTGTCAGTTATTTTTCAAGACTATATTGTTTATGGACAGTCTCCCTTTTTGTACACATTTTGAAAGATGTGATGAAATCTGCACCTGGAGGCAGTATAGGGTTATTATTCGAAAGTGTTTAACTGCCAATTATTTATATATGGCCTTGAGGCTGTAAGAAAGCAGGCCAAAAAGGATTTTGCGTCTTGGAGGCGGATGCAAAACATACATTTAATAAATGCTTAAATTAGCATGATTTCATATAATTAACTTTAATGAAATATACTTTAGGGAGAATCAAGTTGTTTTGCCAGATACGTTTAAACATACAAGGAATTTGCTTTTGTGTATGATGGTGTAAACATAATCAACATAAGAAAATAAGTTGTAAGAGAAGGTCAAAAATATAACGATTATAAAAAGAAAAATATTTTAGCATTAAAAAAGAATAAAGACAAGACTTTACAACAAATGTAAATATTAAAAAATATATATTAAAACATGTAGTACAATGAATAACTGACAATATATGACACACTGAAAAATAGTTCTAAACATTTTTAATAAAAGCAATGCATCCATTTGAGCTTTTTCTGAAGTGGGGACACTTTGAATCCCTTAAATGGTTGAAACCCATGATATACTTAGTGAAAATGAATCTAAAGTACATCATGAAGAGATTCGCTTTTTCAAATCAGTGGACAATTCTTAAAGATAATCAAAATATGCTAAATTGTCCCCCATATCCTCCAACGCAGCCTCAAAACTGGCAGTGCTCTCATTCTTCCTCCCTCTATCAATTCTTCATTCCCTCCCAAAACAGCTTGTTCAAAGTCCAGGTGTGGAACGGCGGAGGTGACTCGTCAAACAAAGATGACCTCAGAAACAGCGGCAGCCAGACAGCATCCAGACCTCAAACTTTTCTCAGGCCGGTTACCATGACGACAGCGCCTCTTCCTCCTCTTCATATGCCAGGGGCGACAGTTAGGCAGGCGGCTCCTCCTTTCTCCCCAAACACCCACTTCCCTCCCCCTCCTCTGGTTTTCTCTGCAGTGAGCGGCCGCCCCCCGCAGCAGGCGGCACATGCTGAGGCGCAGGACAAGGGCACAAAGAGAGCCTTCGTTCCTCCCATGACGCCTCAGCCGCTTCACATACAAGGTGCAAACGCTGCGCCAACACAGTCAAAGACACTGTGTCCCTTACTGGTTCACCAAAAATCACGTGTACAGCTTCTGTAAAGTGCTGCAGCTAATGAGCATGCCCAGGTCGAGCCGCGGCAGCAGCTGCCACATTGTGTTTGTGTGTGATGAGGTGAAATGAGGTGAACTCCCCTCAGTGACCGCTCCATTGTAATGCAACATACTAGGCACTAGGTGGTGGGTTGAAAAACAGTAGAAGCTGTACAGAGTAACAGTAGTGCCTTTGTAAACACATACACTATGCAGCGTGTTTCCTTTTATTTTCAGTAATATCATATTATTTATCTATGTACCATAGACACATTTTCAGTGGTGTAAAGTAACTAAGTACATGTACTCAAGTACAGTACTTAAGTAACATTTTGAGGTACGTACTTGTACTTAACTGGAGTATTTCAATGTTTTGATACTTTGTACTTCTACCCCACTACAATTCAAAGGTAAATCATGTACTTTCACTCCACTAAATGTATTTAATACCTTTAGTTACTTCACAGATCTGGATGAATGATGTGAAATATAATCAAGTGTTAAATCAGACTTTAGTTCCACCTGGAGTAAATTCACAAGCTACCCTGCAGTATACAAAGTATTTCAAACTAGCTGCACCTTTACCAGCTTTGAGAACACTTTAATGCATCGATAATTATAATCAAAACATATCATATATATTATTCTGAAATGGACCAATCTGCATAACGAGTACTTTTACTTTTGGTTCTTTGAGTATATTTTGATGCCAATACTTTTGTACATTTACTTGAGTAACGTTTTGATTACAGGGCTTATAGTATTCCTGGTAGTTCTACTTTTACTTAATTACAGTACAAGATCTGAGTACTTCTTCCACCTCTGGACATTTTGACTGCAGGGGATGGGGATTAAACCTCTGACCCTCTGATTGGTAGATGCCCATTTCCCCCCTGAGCCACAGCAGCCCCATATTTGCATAAAAACACAGGAATAGTCGACGTAAAAATATATTAAATGAACTACTAAGATAAGTAAGAAAACACTAATTACTAAACAATTTCTGTCATTAAAAAGTACAAAAAAGATTTCTGCAGTTTTACTCAACATTCACCAGAAAAAAAAAAACTATCCATTTCAAACCCTGCAAAAATGTTAACATTTCCTATTTCCATCTTGGTGGAATTAGCTAAATCTGTGAGATTTGACTGAAAATTAAAGTGTGGAATGTTTTGTATTTTAGGGTCCTCTGGGTCTGGAGTTTTGAGACCAGTTTCTGAAATCCGTATCCTTTTTGTGGTTGGCAAAACAATATCAAATTGTTCAACTGTACTTGAATGCTTCTCCAATTTTGCAAGAAATGTGGTTTGAATCTCTCAATTTCCTGAACCATGCTAACACAGCAGCAAAGTTCAGATCCGTCTTCAAAGAGTTCCCCTTTTTCAACTACGTTCAGTCCAAAGCATTAGATGATGTAAGCATTATTTGAAAACCTCTATAAACACTAATCTGAGGATTATGAATAACATAACATGTATTTCTTGTTTGCTGTGTTCACAGGTTCTTTACACGGGTAACAACTTTGTGGCATGTGCCCCTACTGGATCTGGTAAAACGGTTCTGTTTGAGCTGGCCATCATCCGTCTGTTAATGGAGACCTCAGAGCCCTGGAATAACGTCAAAGCTGTCTATAGTGAGGATAATATTGTGTAAACCCATTAAATACATCATCAAAGCTCAAGTCAGAGTAGATTTGGCCTAGAGTAAGGATTTATTGTCACAACATTTTTTGTTTCCAGCCTTAGCATTGGAAGAAACAATTCCGACTAAGAAAGTTTAGAAGAATTCCTGAAAAAGTGTTATATTTTCCTAACTCCAAAGAATATAGAACTTGGTATATGTATATGTTTGTCTTACTTTATAACTGATTGAAAATATAAAACACAGATTTACTTTCCTATTCTATATAAACGTTGCCAATATGAACAAAGCATCTGTGTCAAATTCTAGCATGTGGAAGAAATCCTATACTATGAAATACAGCCTTAAAGGTCCCATGTCATGGCCATTTCTACTGATCATAATTCCATTGTTGAGGTCTACTAGAATAGATTTATATTGTTCAATGTTCCAAACTCACATTGGTTTCTCATACAGCATCTCTGTATAGTATGTGTATTCACTCTCTGTCCTAAACGGCTTGTTGGAGCCCCTGCCCCCCCCCTCCCTGTGAGCCCAGTGGCCGTCTGCGAGACAGCGAGACACAGCGAAACCCAGCCCGAACACACACACACACCCGCAGCCTGGCTGGGAGTTTGTGTGTGTGCTCACACACCGACTCACAGCCTCGCCGCGTCCCGCCGTCTCAGGGAGGAGAAATTGGCGGAGCTGCAGCTGAGAAAAGATTGAGTGTGTGTGTGGGAGGAAGTCCGCGGATTGGTCAATTTGGACCAATCCACGGACTTAACCTAACGGCTCCACGGATTGGTCCATTTGAACCAATGGGTCCATTTGGGTATGGGCACATCACTGTACCCAGGAAGAAAAAGATAAATCCCCAACGAGGCGTTCTGGGGCAGCATAGACAGGTCTTTTCTGTGTTACAGTTTTACTCGCTACAGGGTGTACTTTGAGGGTTTGGGACTTTGCAGACCGTTCACATGCATAAAAAGCTTCATAACACACAAGGGGACGGGTAATAACCGGAAAAGCATGACATGGGACCTTTAACAAAGTTAGTGAAGATCAACAGTGTTTCAACACACACTCCTGATTAAATCATTCACTGGGGTTTTGAAAATGTTTCTTCTGACTTGCTTTACTTTGAGTGTTTTGATTTTGGATTCAGTTATAGATGTATGTGTTTCTGAGGAGCAGAGAAGTGTTTTGTAATAACACTCCCTGTTTGTTCTTGTCAGTGGCCCCCATCAAAGCGCTGTGCAGTCAGTGCTTTGAGAGCTGGAAGAAGAAGTTTGGGCCTCTGGGGCTGAACTGTAAGGAGCTGACGGGCGACACGGAGATCGATGACTTCTTCGAGATCCAGGACTCCCACATCATCCTGACCACGCCTGTGTGTGACACTACACTGCGTCCTCATTTAACAAATGCAACAATAAAATGTGATAAGAACTTACTTTTGAGTATTTCATGTTCTATTTCACTTTATTTTGACAGGAAAAGTGGGACAGCATGACCAGAAAATGGAAGGACAACTGCCTGCTGCAGCTGGTCAGGCTCTTCCTTATCGATGAGGTCAGATACTTTGTTTGCAGAGCCTGCAGCATCCAATAATGTTATACAGGGTTCCTTTAAAAGTCTTAAAAGGCTTTGAATTCATAAATGTATCATAAGGCATTAACTGCTATTGGAATAATATCAATATTTCTAGAGTAAGATAATCCTTAATTAGTTCGCCTGCTGTGTTACAGCAACAAAGGGTCCAGTGCAACAAGAGGCATAAATAAATAACAAATAATATAAAAAATGAAAATTTGAAAGTAGATATTTCAATTGCCATTATTATATAGTAATACTATAATGAAAAGCTTAGACATGGTCAGTCAAATCTTAAAATAATTGTTAATATCTATGTTTTAAATCTTCTTACTAATCTCTGTAGGAACCCTGTAATAACTTTTCCAAAAATGCAATAACACCTGAACATGTTAATACA